ATCACTTCTAGCAGAATGCAGACCATTTCAAGCATGCCATTATTTTGGAAGATAATCCAGAGGGGGAAAGCAAAATGGGTCTAGACATATTGGAACTGTCACAACCCAAGGGTGTGATTTTTTTTTTTTTTTTTTTTTTTTTTTTTTTTTTTTTTTTTTTTTTTTTTTTTTTTTTTTTTTTTTTTTTTTTTTTTTTTTTTTTTTTTTTTTTTTTTTTTTTTTTTTTTTTTAAGAGGCTTGAGCGGTTTCCGCCCAAGTTGGAGGACTCCACAACCATCTCGTGGAGGAGGAGGACTTCACGTCTCGGGAAGAACTCCAAGCGCTGCGGAGCCTAACGGACCCAGCGTGTGCCTTAAGAAGGCTATAGGGGTCTGATCAACCTCTGGCCTCTCCCCGTCGCTGAGCGCGATCCCTCGACGAACCCCTTCCCTGCGCGCTTGTTCCACGGAGCCTAGCAAGCTTCGTGTGTATCCAGAGCTCTGTCCGAGTTATTTCAAGAGGCTCGAGTTTTCTGCGGGTCTTGTTCGAGTTCGTGTTGTGGAGCCTAGCAAACTCCACATGTCTGTCTGTAACCGCAACGCAAGCAAGTTTTTCCTGCCTGCACCGCGACCATCTATGGTGCAAGTAAAATAATCTTTAATCAACCGCTACGCGTCCGTGCCTAATTCTAGTCTGCCGGCCTGCATTCCCCGACCCGCGTGCCAGGGCTGCTGGCCACAGCCCGCCGCACGCCCCCAAAGGCCTCAGACCGCTCCCAGCCCGCACAGGAACAAGACTTTTTCTTCACATGTGGATGATGCCAAATCCTGCAACAAATGTTTTAGTTGACAATCCACCTGTAGTTAGAGGGGCCTTGCAATCAGTACAGGAAAGACATTCCACTCTGAAAAAGCACAATTGAGATCAGGGATGATCTGCTTTTGCAAATGATGTATTGAGCATGACACTAAAGTGAATGTGGTATGGGGATGGCTCTCAAAAGAAAAAAGTAGGGCAGCATTTTAGGGGACAGGATTTTGACTAGGATTAAAACTGAATTAGCACAGATGAGTGGTGTCTAAATTTACCAGAGTAGGAGATGGAGAACAATCTTGGCAGCTTTCCTTTGGACTTTATCAGGAGCAAAACTTGAGTGTGCTCTTTGGGTACCAGTTGTGCTGAGTGGCACCCAAGGTATGGATACTTGTTCTAGTGTCCAATAGTTAAACTGAGATTCCAGAAGTTGATTCTGCAAGAAAAATAATGAATAACCCTTTAAAATAATCTTATTCTTTCTTAAATATCAAAGGCATACTGAATGTTGATGTCTTATACTGCTATATTAATATCCTCCAATGCTGTATATATGGCTTTTGTAATGTTTCTGGTTTAAGGCTTTGCATTTTGTTATGTGGTCATTTGCACTGACTAACTTGTGCACTGGGGAAGATGGGGTTAATAGGCCCCTCTCTAGGACCTAGAGCTGTCCCACCTGCAGGAGGAGACGAGATGCACCTCCAGTAACAAAGAATTAAATAGCCTTGTGGGGTGGGCTTTGCAAACATTCCCTTGTCAGAAGACTCCTTGCTGCCTGAGAAACATTAAGGGAAAGAAGCAGCTTAGCGTGAAACTGAACAGCAGAAAAGGAGGGTGTCCTCTTGAGGGCTAAAGAGACTGGAGAGATAACCATGGAGCTTGCTTTTGGGTGCTCAGGGCTATGTAGATTGGAAAAGGGTGACTGCTTAAATCTTTGGAGGGGCTAGAACTGCTTGCTATGCTGTTTTGCCCAATAAAGGCCTTCTCCTCTTTAAAAGAGGAGCAGTCTGTCTTAGGATTTTGGAGCATTCTTTCACCCTTTGAGAGAGGAGCTTACCTTCTAGTTCAGCTCCTGAAGAGACAAAGTCCCCTGAGGGAAGGCCATGGGTAACTAAGGAGGGTTGGGGACTGAATGGCCAGGTCAAGACTGGGGGTGTGGATTGAGCTAGGACTTGCCCCACTTCAAAAGCTATGCCTGGGCTGGCTTCAGAGGCTACATAAAGCAGACAGTCCCAAGTAAATGCTTTCCTGGGGAGTCCCTGACAACCAGCTCCACTCTTTCTTCAAAATAAAGAAGGGGTACACCTAAAATTTATCCAGCCTTAACATGGCTCCCTTACATAAAACCAGCTGTTCAAGGTAAAAGTCTCCTTTTTTGTGAGTGCCTTCTAATTTTATAAAGGAAAACATGACTTCGTACAGTATGGGTATGCACTTTATTTATTTGCATCTGATGTGCACCACTTCACTGAAATTTGGGTGGCATGTATTAAACTAGGACGTGTAGAGCAGAGATCCTGTAGGAGCCAAATGGCCTATTAAAGTGTCTGGGAAGCCAGCGGTGCCTGCTGGCTTTCAGCTGAGAGCCCACCTGGCTTGAAGAGAAAAGGGCTGACATGGATAGCTTGGCTCCAGCAGAATTGGCCCTCAGTTGGATTGGCGGATGCTGCTGGCTACCTATCTGGCTAGAGAAGAGGGGCGAAGCTGTTCTAGCTCAACCACTACTACTTGCTGAGTCAGCTGAGGGCTGATCTTGCTGGAGCTGAACTGCCTGGCTGCTCTCCTGGAGCAGTGGGCAGTGAGCAGTACCTGCTATGTCCTGCAGCTAAGGAGTTACAAGAGTTGCAGGTGTTTTTACTCTGCAACAGCTGCCTGTCTTCCTTGCAAAAATACCATACTTAATACTATTTGCAAGGAAAGATCTCTTCTTTGTTCTGCCTTTTGAAAACCAGGTGCATGGCTTTATTCAGTGGCATGTGAGAATATAGTCCTCAATCCAATCTGTTCCACTTGATCAATTAAATAACCTAAATCTCTGCAGAGAAGATTCCTAAATTTAGAGTACATTTATGGCTCCCAGTGACACACAAGAATCCAACTACTTACAACATGAAGGCTGATTTTGCTACTGCTGTGTGGCACACTTGTAACTAAGCAGTCATTGCCATGAGTTATGACAAGTTTGTGCATTTTTACTAAAATGGCATCATTTATTTTGGCACGAGAGACTGTTTTATTGACTCCAAATTTTAGTTTGCGGCAGTGTACCCTTCAATTGAGCTGCTATAGAATTGCCTCACTAAGTAAAGGAAGATTTTAAAATAGCTAAGCTTCATTATCTAAGTAATTCTAGAGGCACATACTATGAGAGCAGAGCTGGCAAATTCCTAATAAATATTTACCTCAGGGCTTTAGTGAGGGAACTATGTTGGTTTATTTGCATATGGCCAGCACTTGTTTTTATACTAATTGATCTAATTGAAAACACTGCCCTGAAAACTACTGGCACTCTGAACACACCTTTTCCATATAGCCCAACTTGTCATACTTAATGGTGCAAATTCCCATAAATAACACTAAAGCATAGGGATGGAATTGCCTGGGAAAATGTCACTATCTAAAGCTAATTTATGGAACCCAGTTTAAGTTTTGAAATATTCAACTGAATTGCTATGGCCATACCATAAATCTATCATCTAGCAGCAGGACCCTGGAGTGCACTAGGTTCAGGCTGCTGCTTAACAAAGCTTTATGGTTGTATGCGTGTGGTGCCATGGGAATGCAAACTGGCAGTATTTCCCAACTCTTCCAAAATACTGTGGCTACACTGCATCAAATTCTGGCAGCCCAGGTGGAAAAGAACAGTAGAAAAAGCACCTGGAAGAATGAAAATTTTAACCTCTGCATTAGAGTGAGCTGCCTGAGCCAAAGACCAACTGGCTGTTCTGTATGGGCTGAATTGCCTGGAAAAATACCACTGTATGTTCTGAGTACTTCCTAACCCTCCCTAACTAGGACCCCTACTTATGTTGGTCATTTGAAAGGGCTTTCTCATTTTGCCCTATAACTTCAGTTCAGAAAAGCTTTGCAGCTCTCTCTTTACCCAGTTCCATCCTTGGGAATGTGTTGCTTCTTGTCTTATTTGGAGGATATTGGACTTTGGGGGGAATGAGTTTGCTTTACGACTTTGGGACTTGAACATCGCCCAGATTCTATGACCCTTTTTTGGTAGCTGTACCCTTTTTGAGTGGAGCCAGTTGATGGCATTTGGACTTAAGAGTGACAGAGAATGAAGGCAGTTTCTTCTCTCAACTAGCTTGCGTGGTCTCCTACAGAGACTCTTTTGTTTTGTCTTCTGTTCATGTGTTAATTATCCTATTGGAGTAATACATCTTCTGGCTTTTTTTTCCTTTTTAATAAAGTCCAGACAGATGGTTCTTGGGTTCTCTGCATTTACTGCTGACTCCAGGTAATATTAACAGCTGCTTAGCTGGCATTTTTTTTTTTTTTTTTTTTTTTTAATCCTAAGAAACTCCTATTGGGAATGAGCTCATCACAGACTGCAGTGAAGTACTGATCTTATTAAAATGGGGAGACTGCTGATATTCTAGTGAGCAAAACAAATGGTTCGGTTCCTTTTTTTAATGAGCTGAACAGCACTGCCAATATTTTTTCTTGGCTGAGAAGAGCAGTCTCTCTCCCCTCTTTTCCCGCACTGTACCTGGCTGGATACAACCGATTTATACTTCAACTTCATTTACCAAAAAAGTAGCAAGACGAATGCCTCTTAAATATTGCTCAAGTGAGTGTAGTGCTTTACTAGTAGATAATAAATTCCCATCTCATTTTGACTACCTCCTGTTTCTGAGCTTGCATAACTCTCTCTAATCTTTGTTTGATTTGGTAAAATTGGTCTAGCTTTAGTAAAAGAACAACCACTTAAAAGACACTGCTAGAGTTCTGTAGGATGCAAGCTATGCACTATTGTCCAAATCTGAGATGAAAATCACTAGCTCTAACTACTGGCAGATATGCTCCTAATACCAACCAGCATGTGGCCCAATTCCTGTTTGCTCATCCAACACCTTCACCCCTTTTTAGAGTTGATCGCATTTTATAAATCAGGTATCGACTCATCTAGCCCTGTTTCAATGGGGTGGGTGGGTGTGAGACCAAGTCTTACTGATTTACTTTTTGTCTTTCAGGCCAAGAACGATTTGGTAACATGACAAGAGTTTACTATAAAGAGGCTGTTGGTGCTTTTGTGGTCTTTGATGTCACAAGGGGTTCCACTTTTGAGGCCGTTTCAAAGTGGAAACATGACTTGGACAGTAAAGTGCTACTTCCAAATGGCAGTCCCATCCCTGCAGTTCTTCTTGCAAACAAGTGTGACCAGAAAAAAGACAATGGCCAGACTCCTTCTCAAATGGACCAGTTCTGCAGGGAAGGTGGTTTCGTTGGATGGTTTGAAACCTCTGCCAAGGTGAGTAGTTTAATAAAACGGATGTGTTCAAAAATCTCTTGAGAGATCAAAGAAAAAAAAAAAAAAAACAAATCCTAGCAAAGTTCATAAATAACCATGGGCAGGAGTATGGAGTACAGGACACTTACCTACACTACCTGTTGTAGCAGAGACTGGAAGAACTGTTTTCATAAAGGTATTCCTTTACTGAGAGACTTGCAAAATGTGTTAATTATACTGAATGAGGGTTGATGCTATTCTACAAGTGAGCTAAATGCTTTGACATATCAAAGTAATGGTGGGAAGTATTCAGTCTTGTTTTTGTAGAACTTCATTTGTTGAATTACAGTTACCTTCAGACCATATAAAACTGAATGATTCAGGAGGCAAGACCTGCTTTATCAACTTCTCTGATCCTGTTTTGGGACTGATTTTTATACTAAGTAATCTGTTAAATGTTTCTGGTATATGACTTCTACATTGATCCTGTGCTGTTTATAGGCAGCCTAATTGAACTGAGGCAGTGTAAAGCCCCTAACTTAATTTGTGGGAAGAATTACTTAAAATAACTGTTACATTTGGTTATGGTGTGGACAGGGAGACAGAAGTAATTGACAGCAGTTTTACAGGGCTCCTGTCTCCCAGTAAAAATGCAGAACAAACCAAAATACCACTTTACTTGACGTGCATGTGTACTGAAATAATTATTGGCAACTCAGACTTTGTTACCTATAGCTTAAATGAAGGAAGAATAATACCCGAGTTGTAAAACGGCACAACAGGAATGAGTTTGTAAAAAACATTCAGTGTGTTTACCAGAGAGGTGAATGTCTCCCAAAAGCCTATAGATGACTCGCTTAATAATTTACAGAATTCTAGTTACTATTTAAATTTTCCACATTGGCCTATCAGTGTAGTACCTGAGTATTGTCAGCCTGTGGCAAACCCTCAAGTTTCTAAAAGGCTTCATAGAATCTGGCTCTCTTCCTTTTTCATTTTAGTAGCTTATAGATAAAGCCAACTTGAGTCTGAACTATCTGGTACTTACAAGCTGCATTTTTATAATGCAGCCAGTAGAGAACTCAAACCACAAAGCCTCTCATCTCCTTCCCTTTTGCTTGCTCACTTCCCTTTCAACTGTCACACGAGAGAGAGACACGGGGAGGGGGTGGGAAATGGACTTAAATGTGAGATGGCTGTTCCCAGCAACTCCAAGTGGTTGGAAAGGGTTGGTTTGGGGTGGGGTTGGGGAAGCCTTGGGGCAAACAGATACCTACAAGAGGGGAGTAGATAGAGCATGGAATGTGCGTCAAATGCAAGGAGTAATTCAGAAAGGACATCTGCTTTTCTGAACAGAAGAAGCTTGAGCAATGAGGTGTATAGCCTCTTCTCAGGACTTCTTTGCTAGTTCAGACCAGAAAAATATGACTACTGTTGAAAGACCTCAAGAGCAGTCTGTTTCTATAGGGAGCTTTGCCAGCAGAATGATCAACCTCCTTTTTAAAACTGGTATGGCAGAATAAAAGCTTTTTTCAGTCTGAAATTTTAATTATGGGCAGTGCTTCTGCCCACTTGAAACTTCAGTTGCCTCATGATGTGAAGCAGTAAACTTAGCAGTTTAAGGCATCATGAAATAGTGTTATTAGTAAAGTGTGTCTAGGGTTCTTGGAGTGAAGAACACTTCAACAAATAAGGTACAATTACCCAAAGCATGAGCTGAACATCAGTATGTTCTGCAGCAGTGAAAGGAACTGCAATTATTCTGTTAGTACAGTAAGCAAGACGTGTCTTGGCAGGAAACTAATCAAGAAGTCTAACAAATACTTGAAAGCCTAGTTGAACTGACTAGATCTCAAAGGTTATATGCAGGGCCTCCAATTAAAATACATACTCTAGCATGAGCTACGGTTAAACTGTTTTAAAGTCCCGTAAAACATGCCTCGCAAAAGAACCCAAATAGTTGGCTGTTTGAAATGGAATACTTAAAGAAATAGTATGATCTGAATGAGCACTTTTTTGTTTTCTTTTCAAATACTCCCATAAAGGTTGCCTACAATTTTGGTGTTCTGATTCTAAGTAGACAGTTTATGGTACTGTTGGTGGGTTTTTTTTTTTAGAGAGCAAATATTAGTGCTAAAATACACTGCAAGGTCATGTGCTCTCTTGTGGCTGAGTGGCAAGCTTCATTTGGACAGGTAGGGGTCACAATGCCTGGGTGACCCCGGTGGTCACAACTATCTCCAGTTCCCAGTGGACTTGCACTCCACTGAATGGCCCATGAAGTCGGGCATTTATTCTCCAGCAGCAAGAACAGGATCCAGAAACCTTAAAGGTCTGTAACTTGAGGCTTCCAGTCCCCTGGCTCCAGTGCAGTGAGCTGGAGAGTTCTGAGCCCCTGGTTCTTGGGCAGTCCTTGTGGAGTCGCAAACAAGAAACAGCATGGCTTCCTGCCAGGTCGCCTTGCGTGCTAAGTTCTGTTGCACTTGCTTGTGTTTCACTAGTTTGTTTCAACCAACTTCTAATGAAACATTTTGCATTCACCAAAATGCCATTTTTTTTTTCAGCAAAACAAATGATCAGAAAATTCCCATAAAAGCACCCACTTTTTCTCTACAACTTTGAGCCGCTAATAAGTAGGACTATTTGGATTCAGAGTTGGCTCTGTGTCAATTGAAGATTTAATTTGAAACCAGTTCAAAAGTTCAAATCTAGCCCTTTAATAAGGGCCTGTGAACGGCTCCAATTTAACTAAAATTCTTTTATTTCATATTGACATGGAATTTTAGGCTGAACACAATATAAGCCTTGGGTGGCACCATCTTTGGTACAGAAAATGGCTCTTATGTTTAACTCTCTAGGTTCTTTCATTGGTAATTCTGGTACTGGTGCAGCAGAACTTGGTACAATTTCCTGTCGGGAGACCTTGTGGACTGTTTCCTGGCTCTCCTGCTGTAAGACTTTGCTGTTGCTCATGCCTGCCTTCTTTCCTGCTTTTGTCTCAGATGAAGCTAACTACAGATGAGGTGATCCTCTTGGTCTTTCCTAAAACTGTGGTGTAGGGCTACATGCAAAGCTGGCTTGTCAGAATAATGCACTAGTACAACTTTTAACTTGAAATTTACAGCTGTACGTGCCAGTAATATGTACTGCATTCTATTCTGGGTGGTGCAAGAGTTGAACAATGTACCAACTCACTACCTCAAACCTTTTAAAAATGGAAAGCATGCAACTGAAAGGGAGCAACTAAGAGCAAGATTTTATATATAACCATGGCTATCCACCATGTCTTTGCCTATTTCTAGTGTCCAAATATATGGTTCTGTCTCTTGGCTTTTGCTGCCCTATATAGTATGAGTACAGATCATGTTTTCTACTTTTGCCTTGTTTGTGTGTATATAGTTCTAAATGCATGCTAGTCTAGTGTTACTTTTAAACTAAGCTATTTGGTTTATTTCTGAGCCAAATTAGTTGTGTTGTATTCCAAAGTCATTCTTTCTCCTACTCTGTTTTTGCTGAGTGGGTAGGTACCTGGGGGAGAAAATAGACATTCTTAGGGGATTTTTTGGCTCCTAAGCACTTATCAAAGCTTTGACTCCTCATTTGCACGACTAGATGGGTGCATGCTCCAAAATGAAGGATGCTAATTTAATTGCTTTCCCTTTTGTCTTGAACCAATAAGTGCTATATACTGTCGTCTGCTTGGTGGTATAGGTGGGTGAATATCCAGTTTCTGCAGTTACAGATTGCTGTAATTGCAGTACTTGCATAAGCCAAACATGATTCTCCAAATAGAAGCTACCAGCCCACTTCAGTTTTACTAGGGTAAGCACTGGCCAGAATACCTGTACATATAAAATTGGTGAATTTTCCCCTTTGCTACAGAGAGAATCTACGGAGAGATTGGATCAAGCTTTTCATGTCTTTATGAAAAGACTTCTAGCACTTTTCCTTCTGTGAAGCTACATCATGAATAGATCTGTATCTAAGCTGCTGCCTGTCAGTTGCACTGTTTTGCAATGGCAAAGAATTGGCATTTGTCAGACTTGTAACTGATTTATATATGATTAACTTTTATCTCCCTTTTTTTTTTTTTTGCTTTAGGACAATATCAACATAGATGAAGCTGCTAGATTCCTGGTGGAAAATATACTTGCCAATTACAGGAGCTTTCCTAATGAAGACAACGATGTGAGCAAGCTAAAACTGGACCCAGACCCCTTGAAAGCAGAGAGTAAATCACAGTGCTGCTAATGTTACTGTAACTGTGCATGCAACTTCAATGGAATGAGCAGCAAGACTTGTTACTTGGCTCAGACTACTGCTATGGTGCTGCATTATGACAATCAAGTGGGATGTTCTGTTTTCTATAAGTGATTATTGAGGTGTTTATACATCTTGTTTGGTATGAAACTGCGTATCTTCTGTGAATTGCCATTCTTCCTTTAGTAAAACAGCAGTTACATCTCTAGTATTCAGATTAACCACTTTGACAAAAAAGAGGATGGTTTACACTTAAAGGAATAAAAGTAACCTTCAGTTTGGAGTTGCAATTTCTAGGATGAATATAGTGTTCCATTCCAGAAATGGAGAACGCACTTGCCTTCAGTTGAATTAGTACTTTTTTCTCTGCCATGAGTTCCTTCCTTGTCCCCAACAACCTCTTCTTCCTGCATGCCTCTTTTCTATCGATGCACACAGTTCTGATTTGTTCACTACCACTGGGGCTCCCTAACAGCCTTCAAGGAGCCATCCAGTCCAGTACTGACTGGATATAGGTGCATGCCTTAATCTATAAACAAAGTCACAAAAGTCCCAAAGTCAAATGAGCACACTGCCTGGCAAATTAGAGGAACAGGATGGGAAAACAAGTGTCATGCATAGCAGGGAAGTGCAGTAGACACTAAAAGTGCTTTGCCACTAGAGATTATTTTGCTTCAAGTGCTGTCACTATTTGGAGTGTATTTTCTTAGTCAAACACTTGCCTTTCTCTTAGTTCGCCTGCACAATTAACATGTTTTAAGGAATGTCACCCATAACGTAGTAATTTTTAAATAGCCAGACAAGACACTTATTCATGCACTAACACTTTTTTGCAAAGTATTGTCTTTAACTTCATATGGGGATATTGAAAATTAAATGAAACTACCATACCCTTTGGTTACTTATCTTAAATACTGTTAAGTCTGCATTCATTCTCTTTGTAGTTGAGCCTTCTGAGTATTACCAAATGTGCAAGAAGGATGTCTTAGATCATAGTAAGAAAAAATAACTGCTCTTAAAGACTTTTTTTCACTAGTTTTGATACTCCATTCATCTATTTCATAGAGGCTTTCACTAATTAAGAATGCTGCACTTAATTTATGTGTGAAGAGTGAAAACAGATGTTCAGTTTGGAACTTGGATATAATAGGAAGTTCTAAAGTTGTTACCAAGTGAGGAAGCTAATCTACATTGGTTTACCTCTGTCTACTCCTGGTGGCAGGCAAAATAGGTCATGTCTTGACTCTTCCTTGTAACATCTTTTTTTCCAGATCTGGGGAGCTTCGGCTTGCTGACTTGAAGATGTAACATCTTCAGTATCTGGTGATCTTGTATTAATTGTACTCTGCTTCCTCACTGGCTTAGGCTGCATTTTTGGCTAGGCATAACATCAAAAATGCTGCTGATGTCAGAAGTCTTTTGCTTGGCCTGTTGAAAGTGCAAAGTAGCCCATAAACTCTGCTCATGTGTTTGGTTTAAATGCACTAGAATATTTATGACTACTTTTTTTGAGATAAATGTGCCTAAACTGGTTTGTGGTGTTTCTTTTGTGAAATAAATGTCTTGCACATTCAAGTTGTCAAAAGCCCACGATTTACAGAGACACTTTCACTGAAGCAAACTTCCTTCCAATCCACTGGCTGTTACATGAAAAGTCCACCCCCAGTGCCTAGTGCTGTATAACATTAGGCACAGAATTGCAACTGGACTGTAGCGGCTTCAGTCCTTGGATTGTTCTTGATTTTCAGAAACCTGGCCACTCTCTTACATATTAGCCTGTCTTTCTGAAGAAGGATGAACTTTAAAAGAATATCCCCGCTCACAATTAAAGAAGAGTCGTTTTAGGGGAACGCTATCATCTGAAATACTTCCACTACAGATGGGGTTGAGTGGGGTTTCACACTTAATTCATACAGCATACTAGTTTTTGAGACCATCAAAACCTGTGCGCTAAACATGAGCTGTAAAATCCTATCTTTTTTTTTTTATAGGAGCGTACAAGAAAAATGTACCAGCTACATTCATAACCAAAGTGTCCTTAACTGGTCAGCAAGATGCATGATGTCCTATTATTTGATGCTGTTTAAGTTATGTGCAATATCTTCTGAGAGAACCAGGTCTTGTTTGATTGTTTTCATGCCGACGTGGTTTCAAATATGTATATCACTGATATGAAGTAGTATACTAACTTCTGTGCAATAGGTATGGCCTGTTTAAATATTCATTCTTGTGACCTAGCACTTCATATTCATAGAAATATTCATTCTTGTGAATTCATTCTTGTGACCTAGCACTGTTGTTATCCAATTGACTGGTTTTTAAACAAAGTGGGGAAAAATGTAAAAACAAAACCAGAAGAAATGTTGCTTATGGAGAAATGGTGTCTGTAATTTCCAAAACCATGTGCTTTATGGAATAACTGCTAATGGGGAAAAATATAGCTGTGTGCACATGCACACTTTAAAAATTTTTTATTTTTATTTTGCTATTAACATTATTGCTTTTCTTGGAAAACAAAGCATTTGATTTAAAAAATGATCATATTCATTTCAAGGTATCAGTCTTAAACCACAGAATAACTGCAATAAGTGTTGCAGTGTCAACACTTCTTAAAACGAACTATTAAATACTTTGACCTGCTTTTTTGGTAAACGGTCATAAAAAATTGGTTTAATTTGGTACAGTTCTTAGTTTCAGCAGTTTTTTTTTTAAATATTCTTTTTGAGGACCTTGGATTGAGGGAAATAAACATTTCTAGATGGCTTTGAAACCACTTGCATGAATGTGTCAAAACCAAACTCAAATATCTTGCTTTCAAGTTTTCTAGTTTAAAAAAACTTGGTTACAGAGTTGAGGTTTGATTGCAATGAAGTAGTTGAGATTTAAAAAATATTCTCAAAGTAAAGCGAGTGAATGGCTTAAAAAAACACAGCCCTGAGACGAGTTGTTACCCTTGTACTGTTGTATTAATAATGCTGCAGAGCAGTCTGAGACTTCTATTCCTAATGGTATGTTAGGTATAACTTGAAATTTTGGTACAGTATCTTGGTTTAATGGGAAATGGAAGGAGGCTTTGAACAGATTTTAAAAGTTTCTATTTATAAAAAAAAAAAAAAAAAAAAAGCTTAAGTGTGACTGACTGCTTGTGACTGGAGTATTGAATTTCTGTAGTGAATAAATACTGTTTTGAAATAGTTGAATGAATCAGTTAAGCAAACTTTCAGCTTCTTTTATTTGGTATGTATATCATCAAAATGGGCCCCAAAATGTAAGTTGCTATCTCTTACACTTCATATTGCTAAAACTTAAAAAATAAATAAAAATGATTTGCAAACCTGGTGTTCCACTACTGGATTAAGTAGTTACTGGCCTAAATGTCACTTTTTCTGATGACCCTCTCCTTAGACTGCCCTTAAACTACACAACATTTCTTTGCATTATCCTTGTGCTGCCATAAATTTTTATAGCAGCACAAGGTTGCAAGCAAACACTTTCTTGCACCTGGTCACATTCCATGTAGCCAAAAATGTTGCTGTGACCAAAGGCTGTCGTGTGTGTGTTTTTGTACTATAGTTTCACATGTGCTTACTGCATAGCAGGCTGTCACACCCCAATTTAAGGCTTGTGTCTGCAAGTGGGGAAGCCCCTCTCCCCTACCTGGGACTGTTGTCCCACAGGTTTGGGGTTCCTGAAGCCCTAGGCGTAGGGCAACAAGGCAGCAGCTCTGGGTGATGTCTATAAATGCCAGTGGAATAGATTGGCTGTGCCAAGACACATCCCAGCATAGCTGGTCCTGCTCCAAAGATGACATCTCTCACCCTGAGATGGTGTGTTCGTGACCTTTTGTTCTTTTTTGCTTAGGATCCTAACTGGACTGTGCTCCTACAAATGTGCATACCTTAGTCCCAGTTCCAGAGACTTTCTTAATTATTAGACCGGCTGAATCATGCATTTGTAGGGATGGCTTCTTTGCATGTTCAGGGGTCTTGTTTCCCGCTATAGAAAGGAGTACTCAAAATAACTGACCATACAAAGTTCTGTTTAAATGCATCATCATGAAAATAATTTTTCTTTTGCCTTTAATCTGGGGCTGCTTTGAAGCATACAGTATAGAAATGTTTCAGGCACTTGAGTTTTTACTTCCTCTGTCCTTGCAGCCCAGAGCTGATGGTCTAAATTTTGCCACAGGAGATAATTAAACTTTTTTTTTTATTGCATGCTATTAACTAAGTTTTTACTGGATATTTATAAAATAAAGAACTTGGGAATCTATTCCAGTGTACCTTTTTTTTTTTTTTTTTTTTTTAAAAGAAAATATGGATACCATGTAGGGAGAACTGATGATACACCTCAAATGTTATTGCTGTAATAAAATAGTTAAGGGGCTGGTTTTAACTTGGTATCAATCTTCACATGTTTAAAGTGCTCCATCACATCAATTAGAAGTGGACTGATATCAGGCTTGGGTCCCAAATGTAAGGAACTTTCTTTTCCTTAAAGTCAAAAGTACTTTTGTTCCGAAGTGAAACTTGTCTCTGTTTCAATAATATTCCCCTGAAATTTTTCCAGGCACTGAGTTATTTGGGGTCTTGGTTTTTAATTGTGAAGTATTGCGTTTAGTGCAAAAGTGGCCTCAATCCACTTAAATTCACGTGTCATGGTGTCTAGAGCAATTGAGTCTTTAGTATGGAAATTTTTGAGGGGAACTAACTGTGGCGGGTAATGGAGAAAGTTTTCTTTATGAAGAACAATATTCTATTTAATGTTTTAAGTTGATTAAATTAAGTCTGTAAAATTTCTTAGTTTTTATGTTGCTTCAGTAGGGAGCCAGCATCTTTTTATGTTTTGAGGAGCCCTACACTAAACAAGTGATTGCAGAGGAGATATGGTAAGGGAGCAGTATTTTTTTTGAGTAGTTACCTAGTGATATTGAATTTAAGCAACTCTTAATTTTTAAAAACAGTTTCCCCCCCCCACACACACTTAAAGTAGAATCCATAGCACTGATGTTGAATTAAAAAATCCTTCTTTTTATGTAAAAAAACAAAAAACAAAAACAAAACAAAAAAAAACCCCACCTTTTATGAATTATAATAAAACAAGCTGGTTTGAGTATGTTTGGCTCGAGGTGTGTGACAAGAAATATTAAGAAATGGAAGCTCTAGTATGTTTTACAGAAATAGAGAAAAGTATATAGCAAAACATCATTATTTACTCCACTGAAAGTGTATTGAAATGTTACCTACTTGACAGTAACATGAAAGGTCGCTTACTTTAGACAGAGGTTTAATCCTACAGTAGAATAGTGTAGTGAAAATATGAAGCTATAAATGAAAAAAATCTGAAAGTAAGGAAATCTAGAAAATCATATCTGGAATATTTACCCATAACAAAGCTCTAGGAGAAAGTGATGAGGTTTATGGTAAACCTAACAATTTTTACATGCGTTTTAAAAGTATTTCCAAGAAATTATAGCACCTAAGAATGCTGCCTCTTTAATTACAAAACAGCACCTTGGCTTTTTTCTGTCCTCTTAAAAAGAGTACCATTCCTTTAATAAAATTGTTTAACATGCTCGTGTTTAATATTTTTGTTTATAGTTGTATGAATAACTTTTTATATGTTCCGTCTTACTGACTTGAATAAATGTGCATACAAAACACTTACTATGTGCATTGCTAAGATTCTGGTTTAAGTTGCTACTAATACTTTTTCTATGGGTAGTGTCCCTTTGCTGGTTGAGTCTAATGCATGATGGTGCAGAAAACCATGGAAAGACAGACTGTTTCTCTTATCCCAGCAGCAGATGGACAGAGCATTGCCACTAACACTTCCCTTCCTTAAACACCTATAAAGAAACAGCATCCCAGTCTCACTTGCTATCCCCACCTCAGTGAAGCGCTTGCCTGTCTCGGGGAACTGGCTACCAGGAATTAATGGCACCTATCTTGCCTTGCCATGTTCTGGTTATGGAGAAGTACTGCTACTAGATCCAAGTTGGGGGGGGAGAGGGAAGAAAGGGTTTCTGACAGCAGGAGTGGTAGAATCCCTTTCTGTGTTATGTAGGGATTTGCTAATATTATATTTTCTGGATTTATTGTTAAAGGACATTTTAGACCAACTTCTCTGGGACTGGCTGCAGGCCAGACGCCCAGCTTGGGTTGGAGGGGGGAGGATAGAGCTCAGCCAGTGCTGCTCCCCACAGCAGCATTGGAAAGCAACTGCTGCCAAGACCCCTTGTCTGCAGGCTGTATCAAATGGTTCCATGGACTGAATCTGGCCCATGGACTGTAGGTTGCCAATCCCTGCTGTAGATCCAAAGCGCTTGACTTTAGAAGCAAGCTAACAAATATGGACAGCCTACTGCTCCTAAAGAAAAACATCTGGTTTAATAAGCAAATGCACATCTCTAAGCTTTCCAAGGATTCAGAGGAAGAAGTATGCAAATGACTAGGTAAGAAAACATACTTAAGTCATACCTGGAGAAACAAATGGTGTATCGCTATTCCAGCGTGTTGGAGACTTGATCTTGTAGTGGGAAAAGCTGGGTGATACAAGCTGACAGTCGGGCAGGGACTTGGGCTTGGTCAAAAGTAAAGCTGCCCTTTTAGGGATATGATGCAGGGAGGTAAGATGAAATCATTGTTATTTTCTTTGGCTGTTCTCATCTCTGTGTCAACACAAGTACTGATCCTTTTATGATGTAACTTGCATAATAAGTCTTTTGACTACTACTTACAATTTACTTCCTGTTTGTGGTAAGCATGATTTTGGAGCATTTGACCAGACAGCTCTCCTCTGCCGAAAAGTCCCATCTGTGACTTATTCAACTTTGGGGGAGGGGAATGAGTTGTCTTAGCTTGCAAAATCATCTGTGCTAAGAGCTGGTAAGGCCTGGGTGAGAGGAAGCTGAGGCACACTGCCCCATTGACACCTCTGGTATGTAGAAGCAAAGCTGCTTGGCACTTCCAGAAGTGTTCTTTAGCCCCAAGCTCCTCTCTCTCCTGTCTGCTTGCTTGTCTTCAATGGACAGTAGAGGAGATTGGGGCTGAAGGACACGCCTGGAGACGTGAAGCGCCTTCTTTCCGAGTCCTCTTGCCCCTCCTTCAAGCCTGTGTGTTTAATTTTACCAAAATGATTTGGAGACTTTCTGACTTTATACAATTTGATATCACTCGCCCATTGAATCTTGATATCAAACTAAAAAGCTGTGCCTAAAACAGGTTAGCTTCAGTGCATTATCCACTACTTACCTAGGCAAGCTGTTTCAACACAACATTTGTCATACTTTGAACTTTGAGCTCTGGATTTGTTAAGCTCTTATCAGCTACCTTTCAGGAACCCTGTAATACCAAATCCAGTGTCAGAAGTAGGTACTCCAAAAAGTAGGGAAGTTGCCTTAATGTTCTTGTACATAAGCTAATAGTTTGAGTTCTACAAGTCTCTCACTGGCAGATATATTTGCTTTGCCTTTATAGATTCATAGATGCTAGGGTCGGAAGGGACCTCAGTAGGTCATCGAGTCCAACCTTCTGCCCTGGGCAGGAAAGCGCACTGGGGTCAAATGACCCCAGCTAGGTGCTTGTCCAGGCTCCTCTTGAAGACCTGCAGGGTAGGGGAGAGCACCACCTCCCTTGGAAGCCCATTCCAGATTCTGGCAGCCCTTACTGCAAAAGTTCTTTCTTATGTCCAACCTAAATCTGATCTCCCCTAATTTGTGGCCATTGTTGCCCTAGTAAATAGAGCATCTCCTATTCTCTGCTGCCCTCCCCTGATTAACTTACAGGCAGCCACAAGGCCACCTTGCAGCCTTCTTTTGTGAAGGCTGAAGAGATTTAAGTCCCTCAGTCTCTCTTCATAGGGCCTTGGCTGTAGGCCTCTTACCATACAAGTGGCCCTCCTCTGAACCCTCTCAAGGTTCTCCACATCCCTCTTGAAGTGTGGTGCTCAAAACTGGATGCAGTACTCCAACTGCAGCCTGACCAGTGCTGCATAGAGGCAAAGCATCACCTCCCTGGACTTGTTCATCATGCATATGCTAATGCATGATAAAGTGAGGTTGGCCTTGTTGATCACTTCATCACGTTGACAACTCGTTCATCTTGGAGTTGGGTATGATCCCTTTCCACTGCTGTGCTGCTAAGAAGGTCATCCCCCAGCCTGTAAGAGTGTTGGTGGTTCTTCTTGCCCAAGTGCAGCACTTTACTTGTCTTTGAACAGCATCCTATGTTATTCTGCCCACTTTTCCAACCTATCCAGATCTGCCTGGATCTATTCTCTACCCCCTGGTGTGTTAACTTTGCCCCATAATTGGGTGTCATCTGCAAACTTGGA